ATTTACTTATAAACTCTTTCTACAAGATTTTTGTAATTCAATAAAAAGTTTTTCAAATAGGCTTTAAAGTTTTGAAAGTATTACTGTGTTGTTTTGTGTTAATAAGATATATTACATGTGGCCCGGCCAGTATGGCTCAGTGGTTGAAACTGGAGGTCATGGTTTGATTCCTGGTCAGGACACATACAAGGGTTTGGGGCTGAATCCCCAGTGGGAGTCATGCAGGAAGCAGCTGATCAATAATTCTCTCTCATCATTGATGTTTCTATCTCTCTATTCCTCTTCCTTCCACTCTGAAATTAATAAAAACATAATTTTAAAAATCCATTACATGTGCCCTTACATAGGTCAAGCAAAGAAATAGACTGATGAAGTGAAGAATAGTTTCATGAAGTTAAAACATGGCAGCAGTTCTCTTCTTTGGAGTTACTGCAAGCAAATCCATCCTCCCCAAGACCAAGGGGCCACAGGTGGTATCGCAGGCCAGTCAGAACCTTGGTAGGATAATATGTCAGTGAGTGATGTGTAAGGCAGAATTAGATAATAATGCCAAAGGCCAGAGCCTCAATGCCATTTCCTCTTAGTCTTTATTGAAGGCAAACAGAGATAAATGGAAAATGCCATCCTGACCCCACGGAGATCAAATTAAGGCACAAGATTGCAGGGAATCAGATATCTTGTTCTGACCTGTCACAAGCACTTACTCAGATACAAACAAGAACAGGCCACACACCTTTTTTTAGTTTTATTTTTTTACCATCAGGTACTTCTGGCTTTTAGCCTCATTAATTCTCTGCTTTTAGAGTCTAATAGCTGGCTGAGAGCCCATAGCACTGATGAAATTAACAAAATGATTGACACTAAAATCTCACTGCCCAAGAGAAGCTGCTGCCTCCGGGCATGGAGATTCAAATAGCTTATATCTTTTGTCCTTTAAAAACAGTATAAAAGAGCAGCTTGAATGGCAGGAGACTGGGCAGCAGCCTGGCAGCCCAAATTCGCCCAAACACTAGGAGTGCCCAAGCCCTCAGTCACCCAGCACACGCCCAGCCCGCTGCCAGGATGCCCAAGAGAAGGTCAAGTCTGCGGAGGGGGCAGCCAAGGAGGAGCCCAAGAGGAGGTTGACCAGGTTATCAGCCAAAACTGCTCCTGCAAAAGTGGAAACAAAGCCCAAAAAGACAACAGGAAAGGAAAAATCTGTAGACAAAAAAGTCCAAAGGAAAGGGAAAAGGGAAGCAAAGGGAAAGCAGGAGGAAGAGGCTGACCAGGAAACTAAAGATCTACCTGCAAAAAACGGAGAAACTAAAAACAAGGAGAGTTCAACTTTAGATGAAGCAGGAGAAAAAGAAGCCAAGTCTGATTAATGTCATATACCATGTCTTATCAGTGGTCCCTGTCTCCCTTCTTATACAATCCAAAGGAATATTTTTATCAACTATTTTGTAAGTGCAAGTTTTTTAGTAGCTCTAGAAACATTTTTAAGAAGAAAGGAATTCCATCTCATCCCATTTTTTAAAAGTATAAATGCTTTTTTTTTTAAGTGGTGAAATCGTTTGTTGGTTGTCTATTTTTGATACAACCAGAAAATAGTGGGATATTGAGTATGAGAGACTTTGATTGTCTTGGGTGTCAGCTTAACATTCCATAGATGGGGGTAGTTTTGATATCCTACTAGAGGCCCAATGCATGAAGATTTGGGCAAGAATAGGCATTCCTTCCCCTGGCTGCCAGCGCCGGCTTCCCTCTGGCACCCAGACCCGGGCCTTTGCTCTGGCCACTGCCTTCTGCCTTGGCTCTGCCCTACCACCCTCCTGTAGCTCCCTCCACCCCCAAAGCAGATGTCCTGCCCCACCCCGGGCCAATCCATGCCTGCGCCATCACTATCGCCATGGCAACAACATAAGTTTCCTGGCCTTGCTGCCATCTTTGTCACATCAATTTGCATATTCCCTCCTTATTGGCTGTGGGTGCCACCATCTTTGTCATGGAGTAACAATCAATTTGCATATCCTGTCTGTATTATAATAGATAGGATAATACAAAGCCTACTAAATGGCAATTTGGAGTCAGTCATGCATTTGCTATGTTTTGAACATTTTAAATTACTTTGATTTACATGTTTTTGGTAGAATTGTTTCCTAAAGAAAACCACTCCTTGATTTTGGCTCTCCCTGTCAGAATTCTGTTCATCTGTAATATCTTTGGTGGTAGTCCAGTTTTCCTAGTAACTTTGTCAGTGTGTTGTGAAAGATTAAAAATTTAATTATGTAGTATATATGATATTAAATTGTGAATTAGTGGGACTTTGATGTAACAGTGTATCAATTCTTGAAGATATTGGTACTTGATACTCTATGAAGGAGAATTAGCCTCTAAATTTTAAGCTGGAAAGTCACAGAAATAACTGTTTAGAAAAGAATCACAACTACATGACTTTACATTTTTGGTACGTATGCTAAGGATTGTGTACAAATTGATATGTCTGTGTACTGATCCTCAAAACAAACAATAACATCTCAATTATGAAAGAAAAAATAAAAACGGCATAAAATAAGTCAGCTTCTTTCTGTTGGTAGCCATGGAAACTAATCTCCAATATTTCAGTGACTGCATGATACTGAGAACTACAGCATTCTTCAAGGGCATCTATTAATTTGCTTCACATTAAAAAACAATAAAACTAGGATGACTTTTCAAATTAAAGCTGTAGATTTTCTATTATAAGTCCCATTGGTTTCATGACTATGTGGGGACCTGTTGAATAGGAGAGGCCCATGCAGGAAGACTGCTGGTCGGAGGAAAATTGGGAGGCTTGTTTTTCCCAGTCTCTCAGAGGCCTGTTCATTTCCTGTTTCCTTCCACTTAGGTCTCCTTCCCGTGGTGCCTCTGCACGTCAGTGTGGAAGTGTTTCTTACGTCTGAATGCTTCTCATGTCTGACCTTCCTGACCTTTAAAAGCCTTCTGTCTCCATCCAAGAGTCCCCAAGGAACCTGCCTGCAAGGACACATTCACTCTGAACGTACACGGTTAGGCTGATCTAGTTGCTTGACACGGAAAGCTTAGGGAATCTTATGACAATTAAATTTCATCAGAAGTTTCTCCAAATCTAACTGCACAGCATTGCTGGCTTCTCTTCTTGTTTCCCTCGGAACAATTGACATAACCCTTTCCTGTCACTGCAATTTGTTTGGTAAACTGTCTAGGTAAGGATTATTGCGAGGCTTCCAATGACAGTTGCAGGGAGTTTAGTACCAGGAGCTTAGTGCCATCTACCAACTGAACTCTCAAATGGGAGTTCAGGACACAGTCGTGGAGCAGAGCACCTGCCAGCACAAGCTTGCATCGGCAATTTAAAGCCACAAGGAATATAGTCAATAGTATTGTATGATGTCAGATGGCTATCACACTTATTGGGGGATTGCTTCATAAGGTACATAAATGTCGCCGTAGCTGGTTTGGCTCAGTGGATAGAGTGTTGGCCTGTGGACTGAAGAGTCCTAGGTTCAGTTTTGGTAAAGGGCACATGCCTGAGTTGCGAACCAATCCCCAATGGAAGGCATGAAGGAGGCAGCCAGTCAATAATTCCCTCTCAGCATTGATGTTTCTCTCTCTCCCTCTCTGAAATCAATAAAAATATTTTTTAAAAAGGTCCATAAATGTATAATTACTATTATATGCCTGAAATAATATAATATTGTATGTCAGTTATAACTAAGAGATACGTTTAAATAATAATCTAAAAAGAAAAGGTAAAGCCACTCCTTGGTGAAGTAAGGACAGGGTAAGAGTGAGGGGGTCAACCATCCAGAAAGTGGCAGAGGTGCTGGCGGCAGGCAGAAGACAGAAACTGCCAGAAGAAGGAGTGACCTGGGCAAAGAATTCCTCTCTCTCTCCCACCACAAGCTGCTGAGGCCACTGGCCCACCCAGCCTATCATAACTGAGCTTGCGTGGGGCACCTTTGTTTTCTCCTCACCTTTAACATTTACAATCTGGTGGAGACGAAGAGACTTTATTTTTTATTTTTTAATTTGTGAATCATAGTTGTTATTTTAGGAAGTCCACATGTCCCTTCCACTCCCAGGTGGTGCTATAAAATAGGCAGTTCTGGATTTGGAGAGGCAAGGGTCTGACTAAGATGCGATGCACTTTTCTGGAAGCATATTTAAATCTTTGTATACTTTTGGAACATACGTGCTCAAACGTGTCGTCACAGTTTTACGACATGGTATAATTCTTTACTTGGTTCAGCATAGTTTTATTCCCTTTAAAAATTCATTTGATGGCCGAAACCAGTTTGGCTCAGTGGTAGAGCGTCGGTCTGCAGACTGAAGGGTCCCGGGTTCGATTCTGGTCAAGGGCATGTACCTTGGTTGCAGGCACATCCCCAGTGGGAGGTGTGCAAGACGCAGCTGATCGATGATTCTCTCTCATCGATGTTTCTAACTCTTTATCCTTCTCTATTCCTCTCTGTAAAAAATCAATAAAATATATTTTTTTTAAAAATTCATTTGATGGTAGCCTGTTCCCTTAGGTCTGGCTCTCCCAGAAGTAGACTCTGAGTCAAGGATTCAAGTACAAGCGATTTATTGAGGAAAGGTTCATAGGTGGCACCAATAGGTGCATGGACGGAGGGACAGCATTGGCCTGATTCTGAGTGGAACTCCAAAGAGTAAATTATGCCACAGAGCATGTCTTCCTTTGAGACAAGGAAGCTGGGCTTCTGAACCCCCAAACCAGTCCGTCACTGGCCTCTGGCCAAAGGGACAGGTAGGAGGGCCTGTGGCCATGAGGGCTGTAAAATTCCCAGGCATCGATGGCTCTCTATTAGGCTGACCCAGCCTCTAATACTTGGTCACAGATGCCAGCCGTTGGCTGCAGAGCACTTAACTGGGGGTGGGGCACAAAGCTGTGGCAAGACAGACCTGAGGGGACCTGGGCGGTGCACTGACAGCGTCAGCCCCTCCAGATCCAGTCGGCCTGCTCTGGCACCAGGCACCAGTTATGCATCTTCCATCACATTCTGCTGCAAGAGGAAACGAATAATGTCTTTGGAAAGTCCTGGGGTCGGTTTTTCGTCATCCAGAGACTGACTTGCTTCTCCCAGTGGGTAGAACCGGGCGTCCCTGGAATACCTCTGTAGCAGTGAGCAGCCGTCCCGGTTGAGAATGACGCGGGCCATTTGAAAGCTGCGGAGGGCGTACGTCTGGCTCTCCTGGCCCCGCAGTTCGTCGATTCTCCGAGACAGGCACTGGCAGACAGCTGCAGAGAGAGGGTTTCGAGAGGCTGGCTGTGGGTGGCCAAACATCTCATAGAGGCTATCCAGGGATTTCCGCAGTTCCTCATCCTCTGTCTTGGTCTCTGGTTGGCCATTCACAGAAAGGTCGAGCCCGAAGTTCTCAGAGGCCCAGGAATCACGTGGTGTAGTATTTAAGTGACCGCTGTCTGTAAGACAAACACATCCCAATATTCAAATGCATACTCAAAAATATCAGAAAGCCAGCCCAAAGTAGGTGATGTCTCTTTTTAACTCAGCACACTTATTGTTCCTGGGTCATGGGCAATGGGCTGAATCAGATGATTTCTCATTCTGTTCCCACCATCCTGGGGATATGCCACTTGTTTGCCCAAAAACAAGAAAGTGTTTCAGGGGTTCTTGAAAAGAAGTTCAAAGTGGCTGTGAACTTGGATGGGAAAAAAGATCATCTTTTTATTTTCACTAATCTCTACCTAAAACCAAGCATTTCCTTCCATGATGAATGTAGGCAATAAACCCATTAGCAGCAATACCTGTGACTTGATCACTAGTCGATCACAACTATTTTTATATTACATTATAGTTTTTTTTTTTTTTAACATGTTTTGAAATATCATGTATGCCCATCACTATGCTATGGACTGAACTGTGTTTCTCCAAAATTCATATGTTATAGTCTGGGTATGTGTCCGCAACCAGGGTACATGCCCTTGACAGGAATCAAACCTGGGACTCTTCAATCTGCAGGCCGAAGCTCTATCCACTGAGCCAAACCAGTTTCGGCACACATTTTGTTCTTTACGTATTTTATTAGCTACATTTCAGTGTCTTCCCTTGGTAAGCTTATATGTTTTACTTCATGCAGTTAAAAACTTTACTCTGCGTACATGGGTTCCACCGGATGCCAAAGGGATGCACTGCACAAACACAGCGCAGACTCCCAGTGCAGACAGTTCTGGGCATTTACACAGCTCAGATATTTCTTTATTTTCTCCCTGCTATAATCCTAAAGACTCTTTACCTCTGAATTAAAACCACCTTTTTGCTTTTTAAAGGAGGAGTAACAAATAAACTAAGAGATTTAATAATAGACAGTAAGTAACCAGAATTGGAGCCAAATCCTAGTTCTAGATCTAACTTTTTGTACCTCTCTGGGCACCCTAACTCTTAACATAGGAATCTCTTAAGTCTTTTGAAACAAAGAACTTTCATATCATTTTTCTAGAAAAGATTTTACACAAATAATTTGTAAGTTGCTGAATTCCTTATACAGCCACCAGCTTTATGCTTTAAACTTTTATACTTTAAATCAAAATAATATATTTCCCCTTTTTTGCTCTAATATATTCTGTAATTAATTACTAGCTTTAATTCTACACACCCACTCCCCATCTACTTACTCAATAGTTATAATAAAAATATCTGTATCCTGGCCGGTGTGGCTCAGTGGTAGAGTGTTGGCCCATACACCAAAGGGTCTTGGGTTTGATTCCCAGTGGAGGGCATGTACTTTGGTTGCAGGTTCAATCTCTTAGCCCCTGTTGTCCTGCCTTATGGCCCCAGACCAATCATCTGTGAGGAAGCAGATGGGTAGGGACCCCCCCACCCTGCCATTGCAGGATCCCTTCCCCACTCCCCTTGGCTCTCTAACAGCAGTACCCTTTGTTAGGTGAGTACTATTTGCCAAGCCCTGAGCTGTCTTCTGTTTGTTTGTTTTAATAATAAAGTAGGCCACCAAACAAAGTTTTATTATATAATTACTCTCCTGAGGTTTGTTTTAATTTTTTTTTTCTTGAAATGATCCCAAACTCATAGAAAATTTGCAAATACAATACAAATAACTTTTTTTCTCATTAATTATTTGAAAGTTGACAACCTGATGCCCACCCTGATTTTCCTACCAGCAAGGACATTCTTCCACATGACCCCAAAGCAACCATCAAAATCAGGAAATTAAGAGGGATGTTACTGCCATCTAATCCTAGCCTCCATCAAGCGGTCCTGATCATGTTCTTTATAGCAAAAAGATCCGGTTTAAAATCATGTGTTGTGTTTAGCTGTCAATGGGAAGAATGGAAGAGAGGAGGAGATGCTTGTAACACTGGGAAAGTTGGGGAGTCTCTGAAACTGCCCACCCAAGGCAGCCATCTATTCAGAACATTCCAAGGAGTGTAGCATGTACTTATTAAGTAACTGGTCAACAACTTTGATATGCGGGACTTTAAGTTTTCATTGGAGTTTCATTATTATATTTAATTTTTGAAATTAGGTGTCCTAAACTCAGTGTCCAAAAGAACCCCCCAAATTAGCCCGTCTTCTCTATTTTTCTTGCAAATGTCAAGCAGATGGCAATTCATCTTCAAAGACACCCCCCCTCCCTCCCGCCCCTCAATCTCTATCCAAAGAGCAATGACAATATGGGTTGAATCATTCACTGCTTCAGTCAGTTCTTTTGAACCTGCCTCCAGCTCATTTCAGGCTTTGATTTCCTTTTAAAATTTGCATTACTGCCAACTACAAAGCCGTCTCTTTAATTGTGTGTCTGGTGGGGCCTTTTGGACAGCACTGTTTCTTCACCAGCAAATAAAGCTAATTGCTTCTCTTTTCCCAAGGCACTAAATGGAGAAAGAAGGACCGATCTTTGATAACTTAGCCAGTTCCTGCTCAATGCGGCATTCTCACAGCTATGTTCAAGCCCTACCTTATTCTACCTGTTGAGATAGCTCTGCCTTGTAGGGTTCTCAGCTTGGGACTATATTATCTATTCTAGGGAGAGACTTGGGGATGTTTGTGTCAGTGATTGGAAAGTGCTACTTGCATTTAGTGATGGGGTCAAGAATATAAATATCCCACAATGTAGAATAGTGATTTTCAACCGGCATGCCAGGAGAATTTTTAAAAACATGCAATACCTAACTATTTTAGTCAGGAGCACTGACCTCTTTTCCCTGAGATTGTCAAATATAAAAATGACAACAGTCAACACAGCCATAGTTGTCTGTTGTGAATGAATCCAAATTATACAATTTTTTTTGTCAGATTGGCAAAAAAATATATTTTTGGTGTTCTGCAGAACTTTAGATATTGGTTTATGTGTGCCACGGGATGAAAAAGGTTGAAAATCACTGATGTAGAAGATAATTCCATAAACCAAGAATATTACTGTCCCCAAATTCCTTACTCTCTCAGGAACTCTGGCTCAAGGTTGGATTGTGGAAGGAGTGGGAAGTGAAGGCTGAATCCTATTGCATCACAATATATTGATTTGCCCTGAGCTCACCTTGCACAATGGATTTCTTGCTGGTACCCATTTGCACTATGCATTCCTGTCTTCTTACACCTTGAGGTTTTGTATTCAGCATGTCTCTATAGAAATAAACCTATGTTTCTATAAAAATTGAAGCTTTTATTTTTTTGTGGCCCACATAAACTTTAACCTTGTTTATTTGGCCCATGTTAGCCTTTGTGCACAGGACAATACTCCAACCAACTGAGCCACATTGGCCAGGGCTGTTAACTTTTCTTTTGACCAAAGAGAGAAAACATACAGATATTTGAGATTCTTATAGACCTATTTTTATATCTTTAGGATTTATAGATGCTAATTTGAGTTCAGTAATCTGAGACAACCAATTAGCATGGAGCATTTGAGATTAAAGGTTGTGTTCTGCGAGAGACACCATTAGCTTTTAGAAACCCAAGTGGTTAATACAGTCGGGGTTTCTTCCAGAGAATCTTCCTGGCTATTTCTGTGGCTGATACACACAGCAGGGTTTTACCTCTGTGAGACATTTTAGCCTGCAACTCTAACAACTTTCCCCTGCACAAATTTGATATTTAGAATTCTGTCTCCTTCTTGCATTAGCATCAATCACTGCCCACTCGGCCTCATTTGTCCAGAGTTCCTTTTACTAACAACTGCTAATTGGGAGGATCTGTGGTTTTAAGTCTGCACAGAGCCGAAAGAAACCTACGACTTGATTTTAAAACATAGACAATTACCAGGATTTAAGGAAAGAAGTAATATGTAGCATGTGCAATCTCCTACGCTACTCAGAGGGGAAGCGGCCCCTTTTGCTGGGCACTGCCCAGCACACTTCTCAGACAAGCCCTGCTGCCTTGGTTTGTCTGTTGGAGGTTGCCTGGGTTCTGTGTAGCTCTAAGAAAAACTCATGGGCATGAGAAGAACAGGTGAATGGGGGAGAGGGATGTTCTGGTTATCAGTGGTCACTTATTAGCCCTCTTTGGATGCAAGGACTCACTTCCTTTAAGGCAGTGGTCCAACTTCAGAGGCCTCACAAGTTCTCTACATAGTGACACCCCCAGTTTAGCATATGAGGGCTGTGGCCCAAGGATCTGGGGGTCCTTTCTTCCTCGTCTGCATCTGCCTGCTCCAGATCTCACTTTCTTTTTCTTCACCTCCTCTTCTACTTTTCTCACTACTGCCTTCCCACTCCATAACAACAGTGAACAGGAGCAACAAGGTTAAGCCCCATTTCCAGCCCTACAGGCTGGGTGAAAGTCTGACTGGTTGCTCACACTTCGGCATCATTGCCTTGAAAAGTCTGGCCTCCTTCCAATCCTTGAAGAGCTCCCTCCCTTCCTGGGGGAATGTGGTAGGAGTCAGACAGATATGAACAGAGCAGATAGGTCAGGTACAGAAGGTCACCAGGGCAGAACTTCCTGAGTACCTAGCAATGCACAAAACAAGGAAAACAAGGAGCTCACCCAAGGGTAACCTTCCCTCCCCTAACATATCAATTAGGTCATGAGGGTCAGACTTCCCTGACCTTTCCTCCCCTGGCGGGTTGCTAGTCATGCCAATTAGACTCCTTAGAGGGGACTGAATAAGGGGCCCGGAGAATAGCCTTTACGCATTAAGCCCCCAGGACAGGGCAATAGGTTCTGACCCACATCAAATACATCTAGGCCTCAGTTATGTTTCAGCTCCCGGCCAGAAAAGCAGCAACATCAGACAGGTGATGTCATGGCTGCCTCAGGACCAGCTGCATTGACTAAAGACCCCCTGTGCTGGTGTCTACCTATCAGTAGAGTCCATGACTCTGAAAAGACATACTTGGAAAGCTGATGAATATTCTATTAAGATATGCTAAGTGATGCCAAAACCGGTTTGGCTCAGTGGTAGAGCGTCGGTCTGCGGACTGAAAGGTCCCAGGTTCGATTCCGG